CAAGTGAGTGAAGTTTAGGGATTTTCCATTACTAAATTATGTGCTACATTTCTTCTTTTGATTCATGATACTGTTGATATACAGGTTTGATTACATTGCCCGTGACAGCCGAGCTTGCGGTCTTGGATGCAGTTTTGAGTTTCAGAGGTGTTTGTTAATATCCCTGAGTCAGTTCTTTTTTTTCTGCAGCTGGTGCATTAATACAATTTATTACCTAGCAAAGCATTAGTAATATATTGGAATAGTTTTCGAGTGCTATATGCTCTTCATTTTGTAGGTTGATGCAGACAATGCGAGTTATGGGTGATGAGATTTGTTATCGCGCCAAGGAGTGTTAGTATCTTCTATCCATCCATGAAGAAATTTAATTATGGTCTTTATTGTCATTTTCATAATTTTGGGTATTTTGGCAGATCTCACTGTCCATAAGTTGTTTGCTACTCGCGCGGATCTTTATCGTACAGTTTATGTTCATCCAAAAGTAAAGGTATCAACTAGGATTGGTTATTGTTTTCCCTGGTGGCACATCCCTTCGAATCTAAAAAAAAAAAAGAAGAACAGAAAAGTGTAGTATTCTTCAGCTGCTTCTGTCATTTTGACATGTTTTCCCTGTGACATTTCGTTCCTTCTTTTTCTTTGCCTGTCAAGTTATTATTTTTTTATCTTTTGTTCTATTGCTCATTTTCCTCACTTGATTTGAAGATCAAAGCGGCTATTATGATGTTGATGCTATTGCAGGCTATAGAGCTGATGATTGTAGATGCCTTGGTGGAAGCAAATGATTATCTGCAAATTTCATCTTTCATTGAAGATCCTTCAGAATACTGGAAGGTAATGAAAGCTGTTTTCTATAAGAAGCTGGGGTGGATAGTTTATTTCCTATTCTAAGATAATGTTGTGCTTTGCTTGTTATCGAGAATGCAGTTAGATGATTCAATAATCAAAACTATTGAGACAGCTCCAAACCAACAACTAAGGGAATCTAGGAATTTGATCCGACGCATACGCACGAGAAATCTTTACCAGGTAGTGAATTTTTGCTGTTTAAAACTTTCTTTAAATAATATAATTTTCCTTTTATTTCGTATGTTAAATTGTATTGAAGGAAGCATTGTAATTCATGTATTTGCATGTGATGCTAGTAGCATGCTTTTTTACACTACGGTTTCAGATACGGTGTGTGGGTGGTGAAGTTTAAGCAATTTCCTTTTCCTTGTGGCAGTTTTGCAATGAGTATGCTGTTCCAAGGGACAAAATAGAAAATTTCAAAGACATCACTGCACAGGATATTGTTTGTTCCCAGGTTTTACACACCTTTCATTTTATGCTTTGAGAATTAAGGTCATCGCACAAACATTTCCATACAAAATGGGAGTGTGCTTGCTGCTGCTGCTGCTTTTCCCCATTTTTCGTGGGGGTGTGTGTGTGTGTGTGTTTGGGGGGTTGGGCATGTCAAATTTCCCTTTCTTGTGTTTGCCGAGCACAACTTCTACTATATAAGCTTTTTTTTTTTCGGCAGAAAAATGGTGGGGTGCTACTGAAGGAGGAGGATGTTGCTGTAAGCAATGTGAGGATTGATTTGACTCGTGGAAGGCATAATCCTCTTGAAAGGTACTTGACAAAGTACAAGGGAAACTATTTTATATTTGAACATGGCATCACTTTTTTGTTGTAATTTTGGGTTGAACAGTAAATTCTACTAATTTTTGTTTCTCTTTGTTTGGTACTTGTAATCTTCTCCAGAATCAGTTTTTTCAAGGTAATCTAATCTACTTTGTTAACCTCAATTGTCATGCATTCTAGTTTTAGTTTAGTTGGATGTTATCTGGTCCCTAAAATGACTATTTGACTTTTGTTCACGATTCTGCTTAGTTGACGGCATTTTCACACTGTTATCATAATTGCAGGAGTTTCTATCATCTAAAAGTAATGAATTGGATGAACTTTTAGGAGAGGATTAGAGTGGAACTCGACATTATTATATGCTCAAGCCAGAACCCATATAATATTCAATTTTTTACACATGGTTTTATTTCTTTTTCTTCTCTCCTGTTTAGGATTATGAGAGTGAAGAAAAATTTTCCATACCTGATGATCGCATCAGTCACTTGCTGCCTACATGCTTTCAAGATATGATAGTCAGGGTCTACGCCAAAAAGCCTGAACTGGTTTGAGATCCAAATGACATAGTAGTTTGATTGCAAATGGATGCCTAACCATATCATACTATTTCCAGTATCATTTCTCTTTCTGAACATCATGTAACAGGTAGGAGCAATCTCTGAGGCTTTTGAAAACTTCCAGCTAAACAAGTATGGGATTAAGGCGCAAGTACATGCAACTCCAGAGAAGAAGAAACGACGAGTGTAAGGTTTAACGAAGTGTTGATTGTCTGTCCATTCTATCTAGCAAGGAAAAATTAATGTAAGATGATTTTTGTTTTTGAACATTTTGAGGGAACATAATATACCTGGTTAATAGCGGAGAGCAGTGTAGATCCAGGTATCCCTGTGCCCGCATGATCTTCATGAGATTGAGCTGGTGTTCATGTCATCATTGCGAATGTAGGAGGGATTCGAGAGACGAAGCATGATGAGAAGTGAATTGCATCTCTCATCGAACGTCTTGAACATTCACGCTGCTTTCTCAAAGTGATTTGAAGATGCATTTAATTAAGTTCGAACCTTGTTCATTTTCAAGAAATGATGAAAGCAAATTAGAAATATTGTTATTGGGTCTGATACAGCCCACCTCCATCCATCTGGGTTGGTCTGGTGGAGGTAGAAGAAACCATGGGTTATTGTTATTCCTTTCCTTTGTTATAGCATGCAGCCTGTAACCATTGTTCTGAACGTGGAAAATTCTTTATCGTTATCCTAGAAAATTTGAGGCCCCTTATCACATGGCAATACTTACAAAATTAATTTCAGTTTTATAGCAATCATTTATGATTATGTTTAATCTTTTGATTAATAGAAATTATAATACAATTCTAAATCTGAATTAATTAAATAGACATAAAATAAAATAGTTAAGAGACTAATGATCGTTTTCTTTCTTTATTCTTTTTTAAAGAAAGATTTTGGGTATTAATAATTGAACACTACCCATGCACCAAAGTTACCTGAGGGTCTGCAAGGCGCGGGTCACTTAATTTTTTATCTTAAACAAATGGGTCAAAACTAGTTTGTTTTGTAAAAGAAGGTCAACAGAATTTTTTTCTTAAACAAACGGGTCAAAATTAGTTTGTTCTGTAAAAAAAGAACAGATTAATTAACTGGGTTTTATTGGTTTAACATGGGCTTTTTCCTGGGTCATCAGATTAATTTTTTTTGCTTTCTCTATTTTTTCTTCTTGATAATAATGCACTCTATTACTTATTTAATTATACAAATTAGATGATATCAAGGTGGTTTCATATTTTTAGGTACAATATTTTATGTAACTTTTAATCCATTCAGTTTGAGAGATCTAATCTAATTTCAAACTTGGATCCATCACTGTTTAGTTAAAACTCAAGTCCCAACAGTGTTAAGGTTCAATCATATTAGTTTTAGGGATTAATTTCATGTGGGATCCAGATGAATATATAAATCCAAGTTTAAATTTTGATGTACATGTTTTACATGTTGTTTGAAATGAAGTCTCTATTGTAAATTGATTTAATTGATAAATAAGTTCAATTTACTTATTTGAAAGAGATATAATTCAATTCATTTTGTTTTTTTATATTACTCTTATTATTTTTATTTTATTTCATTAAATATTTCTAAAAAAGATATATGAATATATTGGGGAAGCTAGTTTTTAACATCAATTAATTTCTTAGAGGGGTTGACCTATGGTTTGTTTTTGTATAATTTTTAGGGATTAAATTTCATTTGAAATTAAATTTTTAACATTTAAAATAGTTTTAAATATAACATTTCATTAAAATTCTAAATTAAATTTAATTAAGAGGATTCATGCTGTAATTACATAAACCATAACAATTAAATTAAGCAAAGGAATCTTATTTTTTTATTTTACCACCTCCAATGTTAATAAATCAAATTTGGTCATCATGAATATTCGGACTAGTAAAGTTTAATATTAGCTCTTTAAAAATCACTAGTTCGAGTTTCATAAATCTCAGGATCACTAAAAATTTACATAATTATTAATTTTAAAATCTATAAAATTAATTAAAATACATATAAATATAAACTAACTGGATATATATATATATATATAGGATCACTGTAGGACAGCGCAAGAACAATTATTTTTGGCCTTGTTTATATAGGAGACTTGGGTGAAAAAAACTTCACAAGATCATGAGAAGAGGATTTTGGTGGCGAATATGACTTCGTCGCTAAAAAGACTTATTCAACGATGCCTATGCACGGGAAGAATTATACATCTTTCGTCTCACACACTTTGGTTTAAAATATATCAGAAATTATCCAGCAGTGATATAGATTTCCAATTAAATTGATTTCCTTCCCATGGCACCAATATACCTGCGTCACGATCTTATTGGTTTAAGAACTATGTTCCAAACGAATGTTACATTATATTAAAGAGAAATATGTTTCAAGAAAAAATCTCTGCGTAAAGGATTTACCTTTAAAAGGAGATGTTGATCAGCTGCTTAACACTGTTGCAGCACAGCTGAGATAGCTTTGAAAGTTTTTTTCTTTCGGTTTGACGATAAAGATATTTTCAAGTTAGTTTGTGTATTAATCGAAGACTAAGATTTTTGCAAATGATCAAAAGCTTTGAAACCAAACACATTAATTCACGAGGTAAAAGACAAATTTCAGAGTGGAAGAATTAAGAGCATACCAAAATTTGTCTCTTAGAAACATTACACAACTTACCAAGAAATAAATTAGAATGAGGGAAGAAAAATAAGAACAGATGTGGGTTTCAGACAGACGAGTAACAATTTAATTTTCATGGAAGTCTGAATATAAATTAGGAGAAGATCTTTCTCCACTTTCTGCAAAAAATAGATGACAGAATATGGAAAAAGGAGATTTATTATAAAAATAGGATTCAACTGAACCCTACCAAATCTCATTCATGGAATTTGAACCCAAACAGTAACACATGCGAAGATATATCAATACCTGGACGGACCTTAAGAAGAGGAGTCAAATGGGGTCTGATCAGTTAGTAGAAAATCCCTCTCCACCTTTAGCACCTCCAGCACCTCGCAATTCCAGAGTTTTCACCTTGAATAACTCGTGTTTTGATGAGCTAGGCTTCTCATCAGCGTCTGGTGCACATGCATGTCCCAGAAAGAATGCAACTCTCTAGTTCCTGATAGACGCTATAGCCTATTCGGCACCAAGACTACGGCGAACCATTTCCCACAGAGTCAGATTTTGGCTTTGAGACTTGTTCCAAGACAAAGGGGTTGCCAACATTTATAATTAATTGGCTGTTTCCTTGAATCTTTGATTAATGGATATTAGAGCAGAAGTCGAGCTTAAGTAAAGCATATAGACCGGAGGCTGGAGCATTGTTTATGACATTAAAGTGAGAGGGTTGACCTTGGAAAAAATCTGCTCGTGCTTGCATTTCGTGGATACAAAGGCTGAGCCATTTCGAAGTTTCTTAAATTCCTACATTAATTTTGTAAGCTCCGTCACAACCATATTTTGGAAATTTCTAGATTTATTTTAACTTTAAATTATTATTTTTTATGTTTTTAAATCATTTTAATATGTTAATATTACAAATAACTTTAAAAAAAATAATAAAAAATTACTTTAATATATTTTCAAGTAAAAAATAATTTGATATACAAGAGGCACCACACCTCTAAATAGGCTTTTAACCTGAATTTATTTACTATTTTCTAATAACTAGAAAAAGAATATTGTAAAAAATTAAAATAGAAAAAAAATGATATAATTTGATATATACCATGAACAAAAAAGAATGTTATTATTTGATAATTTGATTATATATTTAACATCAAAATTTATGTATAAAAAAATATGTTAGGATCATATTTAGCTGACAACAATTTAGGGATCTTGCAGGTTTCCAAATTAATTTCTATGACATATCTTAATTAATTGTCTAATTATTTTATGTTTTGTAATCTTATCGGTGTGTATGACATCATCCATCGTGCTTTATTTGAGTCAACCAAGGGCACTTGGTCAACTTAACGAAATTCTATTTCAACCCGAGTTGCATTATAGTGTAAGTTTTGATTTGACAAAGCAGAAAGGGCCAACTGTAATTTTTAGCCATCCGAAATTGTATTAGATCTGCTCCCGACTGCTCGATATGTTGCCTGACTGGCTCAGCCTAGCTCACTCTGCTCCAACTTTAAGAGCTGATCTGATCCAATCATGTGCTGTTTGCTCTTAAGCTTTACAAGATGAACTTGCCAGTTTCAGTTGAGGTTCTTGTTAATTCTGTTTTCCATGGGGGTTTCTTTGCTACTACCTTTGAAGCCTTAACGTTCTTACACATTAGAGAGATAGTTGCTGTAGATATCGATCGAATGCAGCATCCTTGCTGATGTAACTGAAGAATTGAGCAACTTCCTCCTCAGTTCCCAGGCAATTCTCAACAACACTTTGATCACTTAAAAACTCGGCATCGGTAGGTGTCTTGACGATTACATATAAACTCACAAGACGTAAACGCATTTCAAATCTAAGGTTTGCTAGCACTCTCAAATCTTGTATTAGCCCACCAACTTTCGTTGATATATATGGAGAGGAATTCCTGAACGAGTGTATCCATTCAGTAAAGGAGTTTGCAGAAATTTATACAGATTTTTGTTGTGCTTGAAGCAGCTTATACAGTTTGGAAAGATTACCCGCGGCTTATAAATAAAAATCGCAGTAGTGTTGAACCACTCAAATTTGCCAAAATATGTTTCACTTCATATATATATATATATATATATATAGCTTTTGTTTGAAGAACAAACCCACGGAAAGAAACTAGCTGTAGAATGTATAACGTACATCGTATTTTTTTTGTGGCAAAGACTATAGTGAATATGTACCCAAAATTACCTGAAAAATCTTTTCTTCTGTGACCTGTGTATCATAGAGCGAATTGGAAACCAAACACATAATTAATACAGCTAGCCATGCATGACTATTAGATAAAAGCGCAACCAGAGAGGGTTTTAACCATCTTGACTTGGCTCTCAACAATTACACACCACAATCTACAACCCAAAAAAATGGAACAGCCTGTATTGTAAAATATTGGTGGGCTTTACATCACTAGCAATTTTCAAGCACCTTTATTAAGGGCCATCGGAAAAGCCATGACAAAATCAAAAGCTGCCCTTACCACAGGAGTCAAACATGAGCAAGTGAAGATCCCTTCCCGCCCTGTTCACCTCCTATGCCTCCCTTTAAATCTAGAGTCCTGACCTTGAAAAACTCAAGCTTTGAGCAGGAATCTTCATCGCTAACTTATACCATATCGCCTACTACAGCATCAAATTTTTCAGCCATGACATATGCCATAACATGTTTGGGCTGCCGTGCCTTTAATACTAAAACGTTTGTCGGCTAGTGACTAAACCTGCAACTGGAGAAATGATTTCTTGTTTTCTGAAAAATAGTTTTTAAAAAATTAATTTTTAATTTCTTTTATCATTAGAAAAGTTAGTTAATAGAAAACACTTTCCGATCAACAAAAAACACTTTCCACTCAATGAAAAATACTTTTCGATCAACGAAAAACATTTTCTGGTTAACGAAAATATTTTTTAGTAAAAAAAAAATTGACTTGATTTTCAGGAAAGTGTTTTTCTTTTAGCTGTGTTTGTTTTCCGGAAAGTGATTTCCGGGAAAACACTTTCCAAACTTTCTTGTGTTTATTTGTTGTTAGGAAAGTTGGTAAACGGAAAACGCTTTCCAGTCAAAGGAAAATTTGGCTTGATTTTCAGGAAAGTATTTTCCTGAAACATTTGGCAGGAAAACACTTTCCGGAAATTGTGAAAAGTTTAGAAATGTCATTATTTGCTGATTATATCAAATTTGATCCTCAAACTTTTGATTGCTATATATATTTTGTTTTAAATATTTATTTTTCAAATTTATTTCTTAAAATTTAATTTTTATATTTACTTTGGTCCTTATTTTTATAATTGTTATTGGCTTTTCTCCTATTATTTTTTTATTGAATTTTTTTTCTATCAAATTTGGTCCTCATTATTTTGATTATTATTTATTTTATTTGAAATACTTTATGAAATGTTAATTATTATTATTTTAATTTCTCCTTCCTTTTTTTTAAGATTTGATCTTTATTGTTTTGATTATTATTTATTTTATTTGAGATAATTTATGAAATTATTTTTTTTCAATTTTATTATTATTCAATTTTTTAATTTGTAAGATTTATTCCTTGTTATTTTAATAAACTTGAGAAAAATAAAATATTAATAAATTATTTTCCAGTTCATTTTTCATAATATAACCAAATACTGAAAAGTGTTTTCCAGTTTATTTTCTATAATACTGCCAAACATCAAAAAATATTTTATTTTTAAGGAATTTATTTTTTTTAAATTCATTTTTTCTGGAATTAAATGTAGATACATATTCTGCCTTTGACCTTTGAGTTCTCTTTCGTAGAAGCAACTTGGCCTCACCATGATGATCAGCGTTTGTTTTTTAAATCTGCAGCTTGCATGAGAAGTACTCTTTCTTTGTTCTACGTTAGTGTTCTCTCTCTCTCTCTATACATATATATATATGAAGAAAAATAAAAACATGTTTTATAAACATGTTTGATTAGAGAAAAAAAACAAAAATATAAAATAATATATTTTTATTATAGTTTTGAAATGAATTTTTATCGATTTAAAACAAGAATAATAGAAAAAATATGTTCTTCACGTCCCTGTCTCTTTCATCAATATACTAATCAAATATTACTTTAACATAAAATATGTACATGTCCCACATTTGAAAATCTTAATTGGTCGATAGAGTATTTATAATTGTTCATAAACTCACTATGAGATTATTTCCCCTACTAAATTATGACGCTCGATCGCAGCATCATTTAGTTGGTATATATACAGTGTTTTTTTCCCTTCCTTCTCCTGCTTCAATTTCTTCTGCAATATTTCAGATTTTAAAATTCAGTTGTTAAATCTAAATAATAGAGTTTTTGGTTTAAAATGATGTGTCAGTCGCAAAACAAATTAAAGGCATCTTTCAACCTGCTGCTTGCCTGTTCACAGTCTGCAAGACAAAGTTTATATTTGGCTAAACTCTGGGATTGAGAATTAAATGAGTGAAAAATTACATGGAAATCTTCTGAATCGAAGCTTTCATCTGTTTGTAAATTTGATAAAAATTATTTTTTAAAGTAATTTTTAATGCATTAAAATAATTTTTTAATTTTTTTAAAAATTCAATTTTAATATTAGGATATCAAAACAATTCAAAAACACAAAAAAAAAATTATAAATTTTTGGAAGCCTAATTTTACAAAACACTTAAATTGCATCTTCCATTGAGTTGGGCAATAATAATTATTAGAATGTCATGAGGTAATAATTATTCAATTATTCTGTACTCAGTGTACAAATACTCTATCTATAATGTCAATAAAGAAGTATTCAGACTGAGAAGTTCAAGAGAAATTACAAGAAGCTGTTAATAAAATAAAATAAATAGAATATCTTCATTTCATTGCATTTATCTAGTTGTAGTACTGGGCAACCTACTGAACATGTTTCCTCAGCTAAATTCTTCAACCTTTCCTTTGTGTCCCGAGTTAACTGCAAAATCAAGCTCTCCCATAACCTAATTAAAATGTAGCTGCTACGCGGTTTCGGCTGGCCTTCCTTGATAGCTAGGCAAGATGCCATGGAAGTGGGTGTTGTTGAGGTTGACTTCTGCCGAGCCAGTTTGGAAGTGTGGTTGTTGTTGCTTTTCAAATAGCTTTTCATGCCAAAATGCATGCCAATGATGTTTTTTTATTTTTTAAAAATCATTTTTGATATCAGCACATCAAAATGATTTGAAAACATATTAATTTGAAATTAATAAAAAAATAAAAAAATTTCAAATTTTTTTAAAAACGCTTTTGAAACGTAAAAACAAATAGGAAATGCCACATTGATGAGCTAATGAACCCGCCATAGCGTGCACAACTACCTGGGCATTACTAGTCAGCATAATGCATGGTTTCTTTATG